CCTCTCTGATCAAATTAAAATAAATAAATAAATAAATGTTAAATAAAATAATTCTTAAAAACAAGCAAACAAACAAAAATATATTGAAGATAAGTAGGAGCAAAACATGATTTTCTTAAAATTAAATTTAAAGATGCATGCTCCAAAAATATATATTTGTGACTCCTGGTATAAGAAACTTCTTACAAAGTTATAAAATCACGTATTTATACATTATATTAATAATCACCACAAATATATTTTTACATGAAATCAGGCTTTTATATCAAACATTAAGTCATTGGAAATGTCATGATACATTTTTGCATAGAAAACCATAGAAAAATATGTCCTGAGTTTTCTGACAACCCAAGAGCTCAGAAAAATCTAGAAGACAATAAGTGTACAAACAGGAAGGCCCACTCTAAGAAATAATTTTGTCTTAAATTAGAAATAGATTTGTCTTTATATCTTAGTTTGATTAGATTGTTTGCTGTTTTGCTGTCTCCAAACAGGAATCATAACATTCACTCATCTGTACTTGCAAAATTTAGCATCAACAAAAAAGATGTATTCATGTATTCTATAGGGTAATTATTTTATCTTGATGGTAAAAATGTGAGTGCTTTATAGTGAGCTATCTGTAATACTTGATCTTTACAAAGCCAAATTGTTTTTCAAGTTAAGAAAATGGTCAGAGTATTATTTTCATATTGTTTTTATATTTTACAACCTTAAAGTAGATGCTTCTAACAGTTTATAGAGCAGAGAGAAAAGAGGATGTCTCAGAATACAATTTCAGAGTCTAAGCAACACACGTAGAAAAAGAATGACAGAATATATTTACCCTTCCTTCTTGCTCCTGCTACTACTTCATTTTTCTACTTCTAATTATCCAAATTCTTCAAAACAGTATTAGTGAGTCCAAAGAGAGAAAAAAGAAAATAACCTGAGAACACCGGTAATTGTTTAGATGGCAGACACAAGCTAATATTCCCCGAAAAACTTCACTTGTTTCATGTTAGATATTCTTACAACAAAGCACTTTCCTTACACCAGTTGATTTTTCTTTTTGTTTTAGTTGATTGGAATAGTGCAATCTCTTCTTTTGGAGATCATCCAATTTGGGGGCAAGCAGATGGCATAATGCTTACGTAATTGGACTCCCACGTAGTATGCTGCGGTTCAAGTCTCGGACTAGCCAGCTTAAAATTCACACCAGATGCTTGTGTGTCCATGCCCCAAATCCCAAAAGACTAAAGGGGAAGGGATTGTGGCGTGGCCGTCCCGCCATGGGGTGATTTCTCTCTTCCTGTCTCTGTCTTTCTTAGTCTCTCTAGTGAGCACTCACTCCCTAAAGCAAAAATCTCTCTTAAATAAAAAAGAACGGAAGAAAGAAAGAAAGAAAGAAAGAAAGAAAGAAAGAAAGAAAGAAAGAAAGAAATAATCCTATTTTTGTTTATTTTATTAGGGCAAAAACATTAACATAAGTACATTTTGATTGAAATCAGTTGTTTCTTCCTCAATTTGATATTAATGCAGACTGAGTGACTAAGGAAGGTTCAGTATCAAGAGTGTTAATTTCATCAAATGTTGGATATTATTAATCCATAGATGTTGATTTTATTTTGCATGAGTTTATAAAATTTTTGTATAATTCTTATTTTCTAAAATTATTGAATTTAACATTAAAATCTAACATTCAATTTTATTTATTCTTACAGCTTACCTCGTAGAATTATGATCTATGGCTTCTAAAAGATATTAATTTTCATAGAAATAAATAGAGTGATGTAGACTAATTTTGATAAAGCCTAGTGTAACAAGCATTCCACTCCAATGACAGAGTACAAACATCAGCTGGAGACCAGCTGTGTTCCTTGCTCTTTGACTATTGCAGAATCATCCTTGAAGGTTGCAATGAACTTTACAAATCTTCAGATTAGGTTTTTCAAGGTCCATATTAGCTAAGAAGAAAAAAAAAGCTTATTCCACTTGGGGGCTCATTATCTTCTCTTTGAGGCCTTGCCAAAATTCAGTTCTCTGTCAACAGATGCGGGTGATGTTGTGTTTGACTCCTTTGGTCCAAATGCCATGCCTTCATTATAGATAACCAAAGGCATCAATGCCATTTGTGTTGAAGTATACCCTTTATTAAAATAAAGAAGCAGTGTACAATATATAGAAAGAGTTTTAAAATGAGGGTTTAGATAAGGAATTCTTTGTGTGATAAAAATGAGATAAGTAATTTGACAGCCTCAAGGGGCAAATCTCTCTGTCTTCTTTTAATTGCTAAAAGGCACATGAACTCCTGAGAGTGAGAGAGAGAAAGTAAGAAAGTACTCCCTATAGGGGTACATCCCATATGGGATGGCTATGCTACAATCCCTTCTCTATTTCTGCTTTAGGGATTTGGGGCATGCATACCCATGGGCCCACCAGGTTTTTCAAGCTCTTGGTTCTTGGAGTTGAACTGCACTGTTGGCCATGTGATAGCCTCCTTAACAACCACACCATTAGCGGACCTCATGTCTGTCTTCTTAAAGCCTAGCAACTCCACCTTAGGTTAAAAATGATTCTTAATTGTTTGATATATGCTCAGTTTACATAATTCTCTATTTAACCTGCAAAATAAAAACATAAAGATATATATCATCTGGGTCTTACATTTTAGTTTAAAAGAATTGCAAGGCAAAATGGATTGCAAGTGAGGAGCCTTTTCCCTGAGCATGAGAAGATATTTTGGATTGGTTTGGTAAAATGCTGAGCATGACATTGTTGATTACTTAATTGATCCAGTTTTAGCAAAACAAACATTCTATTCTAGAGATTCAATCACCTATAAATTTCTTTGAGAGGTTTTTACTATAGGGCGCGTGCACTTGCCAGACAGACAGAGAGAGACAGAAAGTGAGAAATCACCCCCCAGGGGGAATGGCCACGCCACAATCCCTTCTTCTATGTTCTCTCGGGATCTTGGGCATGCATGCACATGCACCTGGCGCAAGTTTTAAGCCACTGGGTCCGGGACGCGAACCACGGTTGACTACGTGGGAGTCCAGCGATATAGCCGTCATGCTAACTACTGGTCCCAATCACCTATAAATTAAACAATTATTTCCAGGATGCCCATTTTGTACCAGATGTTATGATGGTCTCTGAAAAGACATGTTTCTTTTCAATACTGCTGTTCTGCTGAGAGTCCAATGAAGTTCCCTGTTATGTGAAGTTACGTACATTTAGTTCCAAAATACAGATACACTATACATTCAATGTGAAAATTAAGTCTGGTACATTCATCATTCAAAAAGTAATAGTAATAATAATAATGGTATTGAAAAATTCAGGAAGGCCAATTGGTGGCTTTGTGATTGAGGTGGCTGAATCCCACATTACCGAAAGCAGAGCTGGAATCCCAAACCTGGGAGCTTGATAAACATACCAGGCAAATGTGCATGTGTGCACCAGATCCCAAGAGGAGGGAGAAATGGAAGAGAAAGTATTGCAGCCTAATCATTCCCCTAAGAGTGTGCTTTCTCACCTCTGCCCACCTCTATCTGCCTCTCTCCTGTGAGTAACTGCACACTCTGGCAAATTTTTAAAAATTCAATAAACTGGTAAGTGTATATATACGTACATGTAGATATATGTATCCATAAAGTGCTTAGGTTTTTAATAAGTTAGAGATGATATGAACACAGAAGTTCATGTTCAATAAAAACTTATGAATTACTGTCTCTAGTTTGAGCAGTTCTTTCAGTAACTTCCATAATGCCTGGTATGCAATATACATTGCTGAATAAATGGGTGATTAAGTAAATGAATGAATTGTTAAAAAGGTTAAAAAAGAGTCTTTTCAATGGCTTATCAGTGCACTAATAAACATTAAAGAAGGCAAAACTTTTTATTCTGAAATGACAG